GAATACGTAGGATCTAATCAAATGTTTCTTTGATTTGAAGGATATTAAGCTCTTATGTACTCAATGTACCTATCAGAAAGAAAACATCACACATTTTCGACAAAGGAAGAGAATCAGTTAGAGAATGCATTGTCTTATTTGTCATTGTTCAGGAGAATACATAACAAGAATGGTACTCTACTTTTAGCAAAATTTTGCTGGATAGATTTAAAAAATTCTACTTAAAATAAGAAAATGAAGGAACTGATTGCTTCCATATGTGCAAGGCAGTGTTCATTAACATTCTTACATGTGTAATTTTTTTGCCCTCATAATGGCGTCTTCAATTACTTGTCAAATATGTGTTGCTCCATAACTTCAGTTTTTTTTTTTTAAAAATCCAATGCCACTACTGCTTAATTGTTTGTAATAGCCAAAAAAATTTGTGTTGCTTCTTTTGCTGGAATTTCTGCATACATCTCAATTATTTTTCAATTTTCTCAAAAACGATGTATAAGGTTCAGTTAAAGAGGGCGAATTCACTCTTAATTCTAAATTTTCAGGTATGAAGTTTCTCACTCCGTCATTCCCTCTTTTAAGTAAACAATGGAGAGAGGTAGAAGGTGTAGAAGTGTCAAGAGAAATGGTTATGGCAAGGCTGAGCTTAATTCATTTGATATGATTTGGATTTTTTGGTTGGCACAAAATCAGCAGTGATATCATTACTTCTATTTACTCAACGGGATTCTTATAAAGTAAAATGAGTGATGATATGTATAATTACGAACATAAAACATGTTCTGTTGTAAGAACCAAATCAACATTCACTGAAGTCATGCACACAATTAAATGAGTGAAGGGATAAGAACATTCGTGATAGCCTTTTAGAACTTGATATGATGAGTAAATTGAATTCTCATGTTTATTTATTAAGAAAGACTTGATTTTTCTGTGAAAATGATTTGTGAAAGCTGTCATAACACTCGAGCTTTTTATGATGTGCACTTCAAGGTATGAACATGATTAATTGTACTTTACGCTCTTAATGATTGCGTGCTAATGATACGCTCAATGTTCCTGCATATATCTTGATAGTAGTTTTGAGTTATTTGGTATTCTAAGATTGATCAAAGTTATGTGGAATTGATTGTTGTTTTGTTGGTAATTTTAATGGCTTTTGATGTGCAATGAATCTTACAACATTTGATTTTCTTAGTTTATATGATTTACGAAATGGATATTGACAACACGAAAAACAAAGAGATAAGATTATATTAGCCTGAGAACTCTCTTGCTATAACATTTAGGAAATAATATTCAATTTTTAGCTTCTTTCTTAGAGTACCTTAGTAGATTTGTTTAGCTCTTTATCTACACATATTGGTCGAATGGTAACATGCTCCCCTTTTTTCCCTTCACTCTGCTCTTTGAAAAATATTTGTTGTCTATGTCTTATGTCTTCTTTTTTTCAAATACAAGTACTAACAAATAATCATTATTTTATAACTGCACAGACGTTTTATTTCAAGTTTATAAGGAGGCTACAAGAAGTCTAATATGTGAATAGTTCCCCTGTATATGATGTTACGAGTGTATTTGTTCCAAAATGTCTATGAATTATGTTTTGACTTGTTTGTGAAGGAGTAAGATGTGAGCAAGTATTGTTTAGTAAGGAATGTAAAAAGGTGCAATTCAAATCTGGGATCATGTGTTGAGTTGCTCTCTCACATTAAACTGAAGAAAAAAAAAGACCATCTTCACTATATGTTTGTAAATTCACTTCGCACATAATATAAATAAATAATTATATTATATAGTGTTGTACAATAATTTTTTTATTATAGTCATGTTGGGCCCGTGCAACGCACGGGCATCCTCCATCTAGTATATATATAAAAGTAAGCTAATTAGTACATATGTACTGCGTGTAAATTACATAAAATGATCAGTTTGTTTTTTTATTTTGTTTTCTAAACTCTACTTTTTAAATCTTCATACGTCATAATTTCCGGCATATAACTATAGTTATTTTCACTTTCTTATGGATGGACTATGTTCTTCTTTTTTTCTCAAATAATCTTTTTAATGAGCTTTGTTTATCTTTAAGCTAGTTAGATGACATTAATCAATTTATAGTTAACGAAAAATGAAAAAGTACTTTTTCTTCCTTCATGTAATAGTGTATTTTGTTTGTTAGAAATCAGTTCAATGTGAATAATAAGATGAATTCAAATTCAAATTTTAATCTATTTAATTTAATTTGGACTAAAAACTCTTTTATATTCAAATAGTATGAAAAGATTAATTTATACTTTTGATATAATATTTTAAGACGCGCGGCCAAGTTACCTAGTTAATTATAACAACAAGACCCAACTAGTTGGGCAAAAATACGGCTTGCGGGTCCGCGACGCATAGGCGAAACAAACCTACCTATTTTGACAACTTCCTCTCAGCGAACCGAAGAGAATACGTAGTCTTTTGTTTAGGCAGCTTCAAGTGTCGAGAAATAATTCCCCTCTCCGCGTCGCTGGGATTTTCTTTTCTTCAATTCCAACTTGACTCCCTCTTTTTCGCCTCGTCTATTGTTTGCCCATTTTATTTCCACTTCAGATCTATCCAATTTTGTTTCTCTTTCTCGTCCTGTCTAACCTGCCTTCACTAATCACATGGGTTACTTAATGATGCATGAACATGACTCGAAAATTATAATTGTCATGAAATTTTGCTCTCAAACTTAGCTCACATATGTGTTTAATTTGGCTTTCGGGCATATAAATATGCCTCAGATCACCTCTCATTGTTAGAATAACTGCTAAGGATGTTAGAATAACTGCTAAGGAGGGTCCAGCTGATCAAGAGCATCCTATTTGAAATGCAGACATATTGGTCCCAAGTTTTTTTGCTACCAAAGAAAATCACTGAATTGTTTACTAGTATTTTTCGCACATTTTCTTTGGACGGGAAGCTGTGAAACGTCTAGAAAAGCCCTCATCATTCGGGAGAAGGTATGTATGCCAAGGACAACAGGTGGTGAAATCTAATCGACTATCACATATGGAACAAGGCCGCCATCCTTAAACTTCTATTGGCAGTGCTTGCTAAGAAGGAGACGTTATGGGGACAATGGATACATGGTTTCTATATACGAAATAGATCAATTGAGAGAGTTCTGATACCATGGAACTTTTACCTATATGAAAAATTGGTAGTTTAGAGCCATTACCTAAAGTTACCTCCTCTGGACCTTGATATTCAGAGTGAATTCCAAGAATGTTTGCTAGGTTGGAGATGGGTCTGCCAAAAGATCGAGTTCCATTGAGTGTTCTAGGCGACAAGCATACTCGTGCGATGTGACCTTTTCCTTCACAATTGTGACAAACAATGGTTGATACATCGGTGACTAAAGAATTCGCCATCTAGGAATAACCATGATTCGACGAGCGACCACGACCTCTATTACCAGCTCTACCACGTCCACGATTGGTAGCAACTGAGGTGTGAGTAAACTGTGTTGTTGGTGCTATGACATTAAGAGCCTCATCTCTTTTTAATTGTCGTTCTTCATTCAACAACAATTCGTATAAAGCATCAAAAGAAATATCCTCTTGACGCGATTCAAGCGATCTTGTAAAGGGACGATAGGTTGGTTCCAAATCAGCGACAATGAATTCTACCAAGTCATCATCAGTAACAAGATGTTGCAATGGAACCAACTTGTCCGCAAGACCCTTTGCATGTTGCACATAGGTTTCGATACTTGCATTATCTCTCCGCAATGTGTGTAACTGTATTTTCAACTCACGGATTTGTGGCTTGGAACCAGATGCATAGGCAGCCACAAGTTTGCTCCACGCTTTGTGAGCCGTCTCTGCACCAACCAATTGAGGTAAAATACCTTCTGAGACTGAAGCAACGATCCAACCTAACACATGCAATGTGTGTAATTGTATTTTCAACTCACGAATTTGTGGCTTTGAACCAGATGCATAGGCTGCCACGAGTTTGCTCCATGCTTTGTGAGCCGTCTCTGCACCAACCAATTGAGGTAAAATACCTTCTGAGACTGAAGCAACGATCCAACCTAACACAAGTTGATCTTGTTTTAGCCAAACATGATATGCAGGATTAGGCTGATCACCAGTCAGAACCTGATCTGGAATCACCACGCTACCATCGATATGATGACCAAGACCGCACCCTCGAACCATCGGAAGCAATTGCGTCTTTCAGAACAAAAAATTTGAGGAGGTGAGTTTAACTGGTAATTAGTGTGCAAAATTTGGGGACGGTAAAGGTATATTAGTGAATGAGGTTTGTGTAGTTGCAATCAGATCTGTTCCTAGCGATCCAGAGGCTGTGGAGATATTATCGTCCTTTGCCATTGGAGTCAGTTCTCTGTTTTTCTTTTTCTTTTTCTTTTGGGTTGTTTTAATTTTTCTTTTTCTTTTGGGTTGTTTTAACCTCTTAGGGCTCTGATACCATGTAAGAAACTCTTCTTCAATAATAATATTCAACTTACACGAGGATATATATATATATATACAGCGACTAACCAAGAGTCCTAGTTGATTACGGTACAGAAACAACAAAGTTTAAACAAACTAGGATACGAGTAGAAACCAAGACAAAGTCGAACTCGTCTATGTTATCTTCATCAGGGCTGTCAAGAAAATTTTTGAGACACGAACCTGGTTAGGAGATGACGAGATTAAAACAGAATTACTTATGTGGACCCTTGCAGGTAAGTTCATGATTAGAAAAGCTTACAAAGCTCTTCTCCTGATCTATCCTAACGTCTAGTGGAAGAAATTAGCTTCTGGACAGGTATGACATCAATTCATTATGTGGGTAGCGTGCTCTCCATGGAAGGTTAACAACAATTGAACGACTCGAGAAATGGGGTACCAAGGTACCTAGGCCTTTTCTGATGTGCACCACACTGGGTGCCGATGAATTGTTCTCACACCTATTCTTTGACTGCTCCTAATGTGGAAGTCTCTATTGTGCTGGATGCAAATTCATAGACAAATTGACAGCTGGGAAGAGGAGATCATATGGCCCACTGCTAGAACACATAGCTGCAACGCTAAGAATGAGATCTTACACTGGCTATCTGCTGCCCATGGTGTGTTGTGTTTGGATAGAAAGAAATACTCGCTGCTTCTCATCTCAAAGCTGTCCTTTAAAGCAGCGAGTGAAAGACATAGACCTGCAACTCCATATAAAAGGACAACAACATACCAAGTGAAGTAGAGTTCTTCAAAGTTTAAATACTTTTCCTATCTAGTTCCTTTGCTAAGAATTTCAAGCACCATAAGTCTTATTACTAAGAATTTTAAAAACATAAAGAGTTATTACAAGCTCTCAAGCCTCTGATCTATCTTGAGGAGTGCAAGGTGAAAATATTGTACATTAGAAACTACTGAAATCTGACAATGATTAGTCACTAATAGATTAAATGGACATAAGTGTGTATAAATGTCATAAAAGAATAACAAGAGAAAAAATAATCAAGTTAGCTGCATGATATGAAGCCTAGCTCCCTGTTAGTAGTTCAACAGTTCCCGAAAATATCAATGCCCTTTGGGGTTAATTTGGAGTCCGAATGATCAAACTTGCTTAATAGATAATCTCTCTGGAACAAGAGGGAAACATTATGTAACATCCGACAATTTGAAATAGCTAAGAAGAGGCTTAGAATTTGAAATTTTTCATTTTGGAAAGGATTTGAAAAATCTGGAAAATTGGCTAAGTGTGGAAATCAGTGGTTTTTGGCCAACTTTGAGCAGTCATAACTTCCAGCTCAGGATGAGTTAGGAGTAGTTCCAGTTATGGTTGTGAAGCTTGTGGAATGATCTTTCCAACGCCGCCGAGTTTGCTCAATTCCGAGTTCGTATGAGCGAGTTATGGCC